AGAATGTCAAAACTTAAAGATGATGCCGGCGAAACGTTTAAGAATGTACCAAGTCCATTGTCTGATGCTGGGAATTGTGATAACTACTATGGCAGAGGACTTAGGACAAGGTGCATTCTACTAAATCGCCCTGACAATAAGACAGAGTTGCGAAAACGAGATCAACCCAGTATCATATAGTTAATTTAATTATATAGAAGCCTAAGCAAAAATATTTTAAGCAAATAGACGAAAGGTTTACCTGAAGGAGGCTTTGTGAATAAGCAATACCACTTTTAATCGTCTTATCTTTTTCTAAACAATGATAAAATTCTTCTTCACGATGTTTATGCATTTCTATCAACTGAAGAGTATCCATATCACAGCCTTTTCTATAAGCCGCCCCAATGTCTTCATATGCCTCCATATCAATGTCCCAGTCAAAGCTTGAAGGCTCATCAAAAAATTCTTCTTTTCGGAGAGGGTCTAATTTTCGCCACGTACGCTCATCTGTGTGAAAAACTAAACCTGATCCTCCCTTTTCCCAAGGGTGATCACTTTTGTCTTCATACTTCAGAGACATTTTGTTAGCCCTTTCGATATTATAAGGATCATCGTGAAGAGACTCGAAACGGTCCCACTCTTCAGGAACGTCATCATCATCAGAAACATCAGGCTTGCGAATGAATTTAGTTTTTTTAGATGTATTGATCTTCTTAAGGGGAGAAAAACGAGAGCGCGACGCCTTTACGGGAAAAAGATCGAGCTAAAATGAAAAAGATAAAGACAAATAACTTTATAAAATAATAATTACGGCATGGTTACCCAAATTAAAAAATGTATGTTAAGCACTATATTCGTTCTGACGTCCATAAAGTGAGTGTAATTTGCAAAATATTTATATCTTTGGAAATAAATAACCATAAAACTGACAATATTGGGGACTATTTTAAAAATGCACAAACCAGAATAATATGTAAGACAAAGAGTTGCGAGTATGGTTTTAATATTAATCAATGGGGTTATGTAAAATAAATAAAGCTCACAGTTGTACC